CCTCTCTAGGATGAATCTGTTTGTTTTCTTGGCAGTCCATGGTACATTCAATACTCTTCTCCAGCACCACAGCTCAAAGGCGTCAATTCTCCTTCTCTCCTCCCTAGTCATTGTCCAACTCTCTGATGCATAACAAGTGATTGCAAAAACCATGGCCTGTATCAAGACACTTTACATATAATTAAATACATTAGAAAATTAATTTAATGGCTTCGTAATACCCTCCTATATGGACATATACTAACTATATATATGGATATAAATTGATATCTCATCAAATGTCTATTCTAACAAAATACATTTTTAATTTTGTATGGTTATACAACATTGTATGTATGGTTTTAAGGAACAATTTTAATATAATGTCAGTGTTGTTTTGTACCATCAAGTCAAAACCAACTCATAACTGGTTCCCCAGAAGGTGCCAGAGGCTATAAATTGCACAAGAGATTGTCCATCTTTCTCCCTCAAAGCTGCTGGTGGGTTCAAACTGTGTGCCTTTGGGTTGGTTGTGCAAGTCCTTATGACTAAGCCATCAGAGATCCCTATAACAGCATACAAATTCTGTAATAAAGGATAATTTCTTAAAGCAATAGGACTCTTATAAGGGAGATATTTTTAAGTCGCTCAATATTTCATACACAGAAATCTCTTTCACTCTCATTGCCAAAGAGTCAAAACTGACTCATAGCTGGTCCTCTGGTAAGTTTGGAAACTGTAAATTGCATGGGAACTGATTAAATATTGATATACTAGGTGCTAGTGAAATAAGATGGATTGGTATGGGACATTTTGAATCAGATCTACTGAATATGATCTACTACATTGGAGTTGAAAAGGTGAGAAAAAAACAAGGTCACTTTCATAGTTAGAAAGGTTATTTCTAGATCAATCTTGAAATACAATGTTGTGAGTGATAGAATAATATGCATATGTGTACAAGGAAGTCCAGTGAGTACCACTATCATTCAAATTTTTGCACCAACAACCAGAACCAAAGAGAAGGAAATACATGATTTCTACCAACTTATGCAGTCAGAAATTGATTGACCATGCAACCAAGATGCATTAATAATAATGAGTGATGAAGTCAAAAGCAGGGAACAGGGAAGAAGAGTCAGTACTCAGAAAGCATAGGGAAAAAATGAGGCTAGGGATAGAATGATAGAATTTTGTACAATCAATGACTTATTCATTGAAAATACCTTTCATAAGAAGCATAAACACAGACTATACACATAGATTTCACCTGATGGTATGCACAGGAATCAGACTGATTACATCTCTAGAAAGAATTGTTGAGGAAGTTAAGTATCACCAGTAAAAACTAGGCCAGGTGCTGATGGTGGAACAGACCATCAGACACTCATATGCAAGTTCAAACTAAAGCTTAAGAAGATGAAATCAAATCCACAGACACCAAAATTTGACCTTAAGTCTATCCCACCTGAATTTAAAAACATCTCAGAAACAGACTGGAGGCCTTGAACACTAAGGAGTGAAACAAGATCAGCTGTGGGAGGACATCAAGAATATTATCCATGAAGAAGGCAAAGACAGAGGAGCAAGAAAAGACAGAGATGGGAGAGACTCTTAATATTGCACTAGAGTGCTCAAAAGCCAAAGCAAAGGGAAGAAAGCAGGATGTTAAGAAGCTAAGCAGAAGATTTCAAAGTGAAGCTCAGGAAGACAAAGCTAAGTTATTATAATGAAATATAAAAAGACCTGGAGTAGAAAAATAAAAAGGGCTGATTGTCTCAGCATTTCTAAAGCTAAAGGAACTAAAAGACAAATTCAAACTTTGAGCTATTTAGGAATGTTATGGGCAGAATATGAAATGATCCAAGAAGTATTAAAAGAAAATAGAGGGAGTATACAGAGTCGCTGTACTAAAAAAATTGGCTGACACAGAAGAATTTCATGAAACTACATGTTGCCAAAAGGCAATACTGGTGAAGGGGGAAATTTAGGCTTCTCTGAAGGAATATGCAAGCAAAAAGAGCCACAAAAAACCAAGGCCCCAGCAGTTTATGGAATACTAACTGCCATATTTCAACAAACAGATGCTACCTAGACATGCTCACCAGATTGTTCCAAGAAAACTAGAGGACAGCTTTATGACCAACCTATGGGAAGAGACCCGTATTTATTCCCATACAAAAAAAGGTAATGTGATAGAGGGTGGAAATTATAGAATACACTAATACCATACAGAAGCAAAATCCTACTGAAGATTATCCAAAAGTGTCTGAAGCAGTACACTGACAGGTAATACCAGAAATACAAGCTGGTTTCAAAAGAGGCCATGGCATTAGAGGCTTTGTCACAAATGTCAGATGGATCTTGGCTGAAAACAAAAAGTACCCGAGGCATCTGTGTTTCATTGACTATGCAAAGGCATCTGACTGTGTGGATCACAGTACATTATGGCTAATTTTGAGAAGAATGGGTATCCCAGAACACTTGATTATGTTCATTAGAAACCAGTATTTGGGCCAGAAACAGTCCTCACAACAGAACAAGGAAACACTGGGTGGTTCAAAATCAGGAAAACAGAACATCAGGGATGTGTCCTGTCTCCAAACCTTTTCAATCTATAAGCAAGCAGATAATTTGGGAGGCTGGGCTTTATAAGGAAGAATGTGGCATCAGGAAGACTCCTCAACAACCTACATTATGCAAATGGCACAACCTTGATTGCTGAAACTGAGAAGGATCTGAATCGCTTGTTGCAGAAAGTCAAGGACTGTTGTCTTCAGAATGGATAGAAGCTCAATATAAAAAAAATAAAGATTCTCACCACCGGGACAATTGGCAGCATCATGATAGCTGGAGAAGAGACTGAGGTTGTTAACAATTTCATTTTGCTTGGATCCACAATCAACATTCTTGGCACGAGCAGTTAGTAAATCAAAGAGTGAATTGTATTGCAGAAAATTTGCTGTCAGGGTCCTTTCCAAAGTATTGAAGGGCAATAATGAAATTCCAGAGACTAAGGCGTGCCTGATCCAGTCCATGGTCTTCACAATTACTTGCTATGCATCAGAGAGCTGGACAATGACTAAAGATGACAGAGAAAGAATCAATTGTATTTGAATTGTGGTTCTGGAGAATACTATTGAACACAATGACTGGGATAATGGGGGAATGTGTGCTGGAGTTAGTGAGATTGGCCCGGAATAGTATAGGGTTCAGAACTACTGTACTTGCAACTCAGTGGCACATAACAACAACAACAACAGATTGTCCATCTTTATCCTCAGGAGACACTTGTCCATTTGAACCACCAGCCCTACCTGCCACGGACTAGCCACCTATTGTTAGTATCTGATGGCATTATTCTTTATGTCTTTCTATGTATACAGGCAGCTAGGAATACGAGGAAGGAGGGAAGCTGGGTAGGCTTTACAAAAAATAAAAGACCAGGGGTAGCTATTGCTGCCAGTTTAGGGCCTGTGTCAGGAAAAGGAAGTCTTACTCATATACAGTGCCACCCAAAGGTAATAAAGGAGGTCAGAATTGCTTCCACTGTGGAAAGTTGGGCCACTTCAGTAGACAGT